AATTGCTATTTCAAAAGCTCATTCTTGGGCTGGAAGTATAGCTCAATAGTAAAGCACTTGCTTAGCTTGAGGCCCTGAGTTTGATTCCAACAACAACAGAGAAAGACAGAGGCCATTTGAAGGTAGAGGTGGGAGGTGTCTCAGTAGGAGAGCATGTACTGGGCCTGTGGACACATCATGTCTCCAAACCCACCGTGAGTTAGAATCTGTTGCTGTGTCAAAGTTCCTGAAAGAAACCATTTAAAAGGCTGAAAGATTTATTCTGGCTCACAGTTCCTGGAGTTTCGGCCAGTGCTCTGCTGCTTCCATTATCTTCAGGCCTGTGGTGCAGTAGAACATTCTTAGAAAGAAGTCAGGATGGATCAGCCTGGCAGCCATGGAAGCAAAGAGGAAATGAGGAAAAGGACTAGAAATACGACATACACTTCTTGTCCCCCTTCCTCCACCAAGGCCCTACCACACAGATCACAGTGATGCCATCACCCATCAACACATTAATGCACTGAGGAGAAGCATTTAGTGCCCTAACTGTAACAAATAGCAGCAACAAAGCTCACTCTAGACTCTCTGAAGAGGCTGAAAAGGGCGCTGGTGCAGAGTATGGAGGTCCATAAACCGGCCCCCTCTGTCTCTCTGCATTCCAAAGAAATTAGGAAATGGAAACTGGTAAAGAAAATTAATTTACTTACAGTTTGGCCAAAGGAAAAGGACATGTAAATTCCTCTCTGTTGTGCCTGTGGCAATCTTACTGTAAACAGAAAATGAAGACCAGAACATATGGAAATGTAGCTGTGAGACAAGTTAGGCCAGGTTGCCTCTGTTGTCTGTGTTCTGGCTTACAGCTTTTTGTTCAAGTCCATAGAGAGAAGTCTTAAAGTCTCCTGAGCTGTTTGTTTTTATTTAAGAGACAAGAATAGGAAAGATGGCGTAAGATCCCTACCCATTCCTGGCATGGTAGAGTTTCTTGTCCTTAGGTCCATTGAAGAAATACAGTGTGAGAGCCCTGTCTAGAGAGGCTGGCTTCAAACTTGACTCCTGTGTATTTTTAAGACATTCTAATTTTGAAAAAAAAAAAAAAGGAGACAAGGGGTGATGGTTTGACAGCGAAAGGAGAGTGAGCAAGTATCACTCTTACACTATATCCTCCTGTCAGGCTGTGCATGAATACTTCATGCACCATGGCAAAGAACCATTAAAACCTTTCAAACATGATTGCAACGTCTGTTCTAATCCCAGACGAACTCCAATTAACTTTTTTTAAAAATGAAACGCAGACAACAGCTTTTAAAATCCAACATTTTAACCCAACAAGCCAAAGATTTATCACATGCTAATTTGTCACATGCTAAAGAATGACACTAAGAAAATGCTGTTTGTTACTTTTTTTTCCATAATGAAAATGTCTTGGTTCTATAAGTACAAACAAGTGTGTGTGTGTGTGTGTGTGTGTGTGTGTGTGTGTGTGTGTACAGTATAAACAGTGACATTCATAACAGTCACCTCAGATCCGAGCTGTGTTCAGGCAGGTTTGCTGACACTATATGGTATAATGGTATACACAGTGCCAAGTGTGTGTGCTGTGGGGTTAACACCAAGGCTGCTTGGTGCATTATAAGCCAGCACTAACAGAAGTACCTCACACTCCATACCCATGTAGTGACACGATTGTGACCTACAGTTTAAACCATGGAAGCCACACCAGTGGCATGGCGTGCCAGGCCATACAAACCTAGCTTTTGCCCAGAATGATTCTACTTCATGTTTACACTTGAGACTCCAAACAAAATTGTACCGAAAATGTGTTGGGTTGTTTGTTTGTTTGTTTGTTTGTTTGTTTGTTTTGAAACAGGGCTTCTCTGTGTAGCCTTGGCTGTCCTGGACTCGCTTTGTAAACCAGGCTGGCGTGGAACTTACAGAGATCTGCCTGCCTTTGCCTACCCAAGTGCTATGATTAAAGACATGCGCCATCATGCCTGGCCCGAAAGTTAGTTTTACTGTTAAGTCAGTTTTAGAAAACTTGGTGTAGCCCTCCAGCTCTGTCTGTATCCTTGGTAACTCTGGGCCTCCATTTCTTCATCTGTAGAAGCAAGAGTGTGGTTTGTGAGAGCTTATGCATTTCTGCTGAGCCCCTCTTCCTTCTAACCTAAGAGAGGTTACGTGGCTTGTTAGGGCCACACAAAGTTAACAACAAAACCAAGAATTTAACCATCAAACCCTCATTGGCAACCTTCCTCTCTTGCATCTATGTTCTAAAAGAAGAAAAAAATTCCCACAAAATAGAGAGGAAACATTTGGAAAGGTAGATGTGTCAGTGGGTGAATAACAGCATGTAAACTGAAGTTATACTCCCTCACATTTCTGCCCCTCTGATGCTGGTGTGCTAGATACAATGTATATTGATTGAACTTCCACCTGATTTCACATTCATTCCTCAAGTTCTTAGAGAAATCTGTGCCGGTGAGTTATTTGCATGGCCTGTTTCTCTTTACCAAAGCTGTTTGTACGTTGTTTTCCCCTTGGTAAATCTCCACATAATCAGTGGTGTCACTTTAAATCACTCCATTTATCATTTCTTTCAAATTTAAACCTCATGGCATTCTAAATTGAAAATCATCCCAGAGAAGCTGTGAGGGTTGAGGAAGCAGGCGCCTCTGGAGTTTGATGCTACCATTCCTCATCTCGATTTGCTCATCTTCCTCTCTTCATCCGCTCCTCTTCAAATCAAGGGGGTCCATGAAGAGGAAATGAAGTCACAAAACAGCTGAGGTGTGTGTGTGTGTGTGTGTGTGTGTGTGTGTGTGTGTGTGTGTGTGTAAAGAAGGGAAAGAAGGGCAGCCCTGCTCCTTGGCCTTGTGGGGGGGGGCACTCATGGGCTGACTGCATTCCATTCTTGGGGGCTTTTGCCGAAAGATAAGACAGAAGAGCTCACACAGACACCTCCTTCTTCCCCTCCCACTGCCTCCATGAGTCACTGCCCATGTGGCAGCGGCTGCTGAGACCCAGAAATGAGCAAGTAAAGGTGCTTAGAATGAAGTATTTGTCCTGATGAAGCTTGTGTTCTTGCAGATAAGTGGAACAGCATTGCAATGTAGGTTCACTACTAATTTAAGACTTACAGGATTTGAACATAGCCCAAGCCGCTTTGCATTATAAAAATAGAATGAGTAGTTATGTAAGAACACAACAGGAAACACAGCATGGACCATATTTAATCTCTTTTTATCATTTATTAATTTTTTTTTACTTTCACACACATTGCATTCCAACTACTGTCTCTTGCTCTCGCTCTCGCTCTCGCTCTATTTAGTGTTCTTCAGACAACCTTTCTGAGGGTATCCTAGCAATTCCCAGGAGCAGACTCTGTTATAAGCAGACTCCTCAGACTCACACAGGGCTAACAAGAAGACTGCACTGGGGTGTTCCCTGCGGCTCCAGCACAGGGGCAAATCAAAGAGATTTCAGATTGTGAGCTGCGTGTCCAGTTCCCTCATTAAGTCCAGTCATTTTACCATGCTTTATAATCATACAAATATTTTTCTGGTAAAATGCTGGCTTCCCTTGGGCAAAGAGGTAGAAATAATACTTACATATTGTAAAGAATTTAAAAATTCAAACCTCTGGCAAAAGTGTTTGGAGCACACATGCTCATGAAAGAGCTGGGAAGCTCTGTGAGGGTCAACGCTCTCTGCGTTCAGTTCATTGCTGGTTGTGCTGTTGGGTGAGGACAGGCGAGGTATTCGGGAATCTGAACTAGTTTTAGAATCTGACATTGACTGTGAGTATGGATTTTTTTCTCAGTCCATTTTAACTGAGACTTATCGACGTGGTGGAGAACAGTCAAGGCGCCATCAGTCCTTGTGTTGGGGTCACTTGCTGCAGCACCCATCTTTTACCCCATCTTGTTGTTCTTTAATTCCTACTGTAAGCGTTTGCTCTAAAGCCACCTGATAGGAGACACATAACCATAGTCCAGAAATCTCTCTCATGAGCACGGCGATGCTTGTAAGAGATGCTGCGCGCCAGAGCTGGCGCAGAGTACAGGCCTGCAGACTCTGCCTGGGGAGGAAGAAGTGTGGCAGCTGAGTGGGCCTCAGTGGGGAGAGGCGGGGAAAGCAGTAGTTCTCAGACAAGGGTGAAAGAAAAGCAGGGTTTCGTTTCTTTCATTCTAGTTTTTTTATTTGTTTCCTAAATGACTTTAATTTACATAATTGTGTAGACATCTCTCCTCTGTACATAACTGAGCAACTTACTGTCTTGTTTTAAATGTCAAATGGATCTTTTCAGCAACATTCATTATCTCTAAAAACCACTTTCAGTCAGTTTTATGGCAGCACTGGGTTGATATACAAAGTACTGTGTTACGCTAAACACCATTTCTTCATTATACTTCGGGTTGGAGCTAATGCTCCAAATTAGAGGAAGTGCTAGCATTTGGAATGTAAGTTGGTACCTCCAAAAGTACATATTAACCTTTTTCTCAAGGGTGCCATTAATAAAGCAAGATTTACTGAACAAATCTGGAAAAGATTTACAGTGTTCAAATTCAGAATCTTGCCTTTAGTTCAGTTCATAAAATATGGATACACTGACAACAATAGAAAGAAAAGCAGTGATGAAAGAAGTATGTAGAATTTAAGTAACAAACCACAGTGTTAACTTAAGCTAACAAATAACCTCTCCCCTTTGTTTTCTCTTGTTTTTTTTTTTCCTTTTTTGTGTGTGGGTTTTTTGTTGTTGATGGTGATGGTTTTGTTTATTTGGGGTTTTGTTTGGTGCCAGCATCTGAAAGCTAACCTTGTTTATGAAGTGTCCACGATGTCGTGGACTAGCCTGGCTTTCCAGGAGTGAGTAAGTTACTGGGATAGACATGCATGTTCAGGACGGGCATCGACACCATTGCTCTGTCTTTATGCAGAAAGCTGGTGGGGATCCTGTGGACGATAACCACATTGACCCTTCATGTGTGACTTAGTGCTTGGTTTTTCTCTCCTTATTCACAGCAGTCCCTCAAGTCCCTGGATTCCACACTGGGCTCACAGTCTGTGGCACAGTGAGTAGCTATTCCTTTTGTATAACTTGTGATGATAAGTGGCAGTGCTTTGTTCTGTTTGTTTGTTTGTTTTGTTTTTTAATATTTATTTATTATTTATATAGCCTACATGTATGCTAACATGCCAGAAGAGGGCACCAGATCTCATTATAGATGTTTATGAGGCACTATGTGGTTGCGGGGAATTGAACCCGGGTCCTCTGGGAGAACAGCCAGTGCTCTTAACCTCTGAACCATCTCTCTAGCCCTCTGTTCTGTTTTTAAGGATAATCTATCTATACCCCTTTTTTATAATACAATGATCACACTACAAGTTGGATTTCGTATAAATGATTTTAAAAGACTTTAAGATTGTATTAAAATCCAGAAAAATAATGTTATGTATAAACAGCAACACGCTGAACCTCAGATGGCCTGTTTTTATTTTTCAATTACTCTGAGTAATGTTTTGAAATAACATAAACTTGATACAAGCAAATAGGTAAAACTGAACTATGAAATATCTTCTCAGAGGCGTTACAGGGAAAATAGCCACGTCCCCGGGGTGTCATCAGAGGGTGTATGGTCTGTATCACCAGCAAAGCCTGAGTGCAGCATCCATGAACAGCACTGGCACCTGCTAGCTCCTCTGGGACCTACACACATATGCACACAGACCCTGCTGAGCTTCCTGCAGACATGTTGCTTCAAATTAAGATATGCTACATGCTTTCACAATCTGAAGAAGAATTCACCTCTTCCACTTCAAAAATGCTCATTCAGATGACAGGACTTACCAAATGAAACCATGCAGTCTGCTACAAGACATATTTTACTCCAAAGATGAGAGCTGTGTAGTTTTTCAATAGGCACTTTGAAAGTGAAGCAGTCATATTCTGGAAGTTTCCTTATAATTCTTTTCACAGGCCCTCTGTTAGTCAGATGCTAATGCTGTAGGACGCCACTGTCAGTGCCTAACTTGAGACCCCGCCTCCAGCTCTCACCACTGGGCTTGCATGTCTCTTTCTCAGCTACATTCACTGCCACAGTTGCTGTGGGAAGATATTACTGCTGTAACTTCGGGGGTCTCTTACTGATCACCAAATGATACAGGAAAAATCAAGGTCCTTTCTTGGGGTCCTCTGTCTCATTAATAAAAGAATTTAAGAATGGATTTGCACACAAGTCAAGAACAGTGTTATTAGAGTTGGAAAGAAAACCCCAGGGCAGTCACAGAGTGGATCTCTGTAGCTGTGAGGAGAGAGGAGAGAAAGCCAAGCCATTTAAGCCAGTGTGGGGTTCAGCACACGCAGCAGACAAGTAGCCACATGGTAAGAAAGACTAGAGAAGGCAAGGAGGCCAGCCCTTAGGGAAGCTGCTTTAAACCCAGACAAAAAGAAAAGGAGAAGTTGCACTTTCCTTCAGAAATGCAGGCAGTCTCACAGATCTGCTTAGCTAAGGCATGGCAACCTGCTTTGCTGGGTTAGGGCTTCTGTGCCGCAAAGGTCTCTTTACACCTGTCCCTTCAGCGGGGCTGGAGGGGAGCCCTCCTTCCCTTGTGTGGTTGCCAGATAATGTACTAGAACAACTGAAAATTAGGTCTGTACCAAGACAAGAGGTTCCGTTCTCTTAACAGTTATTTATTGCTACCCTGAGAGTATCACTTTGTTGTTTATTGATTTTTGCGAAATGAATACTAGTGATAATTGTGTGTGTGTGTGTGTGGCTGTGTGTGTGGCTGTTCTGTGAGCACATTTGCCCAAATCATCACATTTGATTCTCAAAATGTCTCCAAGAAAGACAATGCGATCTAGGAAGGCAGCAGCTTGGAATTCAGCTCTGTTCTTCTTTTCGTCTTCTCTCTCTGCCTGGTCTACACACAGGCATAGCTTTCTTTATTGTCTGATGAACATTTTTCACTTCATTGAACTTTTACATAGTAATAAAGTTAATAACAAAATACTGGAGCCTAAGAATTTATATCTTTAAACTATTTAGAACTGCTTAGTAAACATAGCAGTGAAAGGGCACATTCCATATTCTCCACAGTGGATAGCTTTTCAGGTGATGCCACGCCCACATGCACCTCCAGATAAAGTGTAGGAAGTGTCACTGACACCTGGGCTCCATTGTCAGGCAGCTCAGGTGCTTCTGTTGCATGTACAGCACTTCAGAACCTTCTGCAGCCGAGCACTGTAGCCCAGGCCTGCAATCCCAGCACTGAGGAGGCAGAGGCAGGTGGATCTCTGTGAGTTTGAGGCCAGCCTGGTCTACAGAGTGGTCCAGGACAGCCAGGGCTACACAGAGAAACCCTGTCTCGGGAATACAAATTAAAAAAAAAAAGAAGAAGAACCTTCTGCAAATCCAAAGGAAGAAAAATTCCTAAGTTTGGATGTGCCCATGCTCATCCACCCAGAGCCGTTGGTAACTACCTGTACTCTTTTTCTTAGGTCAGTGAAGATGTATTTTCTTACAACTTGAAAACTGTACACCAGTTAACGGTAGAAGCACTGTCCTCCAGAATATACAGAGAAAGTTATTTCATTATGCAATTATGGTCCTAGTTCCTTGTACATAAGTACACGAACAGGGTCTCACTTTTATTTCCCTGAAGCCCTTCCTTTCCATTTCAAACATTGGCTAATTTATTGAATAACCAAAGTGAGCCACATAGACTGTTCTTAGCACTTTCTGCTTAGGTTTCTTATCTTGTTAATTATTCTTGTGTATGTGAGTGTATGTGTCATATGTTTGTGGGTGTTTTTACGTTTGCGTCTGTGAAGTGTGTGTGTGTGTGTGTGTGTGTGTGTGTGTGTGTGTGTGTGTGTGTGTGCCACAAGTTGGCGTCTGGTATGCTCAGTCACTCCCCACTATTTACTGAATCAGGGTCTTTGTTGAACCTAGAGCTTGCCCAAATCAGCTAGTCTGGATAGCCAGCTTTTGTCAAAAATTCCTTGTTTCTGCCTCCCAAGCTGTGGGGTTCTAGGCAGTCTGCAATGCCTACCCAGATTGTATGTGGTGCTGGGGTCAAAACTCTAGTCCTCTCTGTTTCACAAGCAAGCTCTGTCCACTAAACCATGTCTTCATTCTCTCTCCCCTCTCTCTCCCCTCCCCCTTTCTGAGAAATGTTGATCACTTTATTATCAATTCATATACATTTTTGTAAAGCTAAACTCTTTTTAAGGTATAGGAAGAAACTTAGCTGAAGCATTTTCTTGAAAGTTAAAGTCCTAACCTGTGTCCCATGCCCTGTAGTGTTTTTCATTTGTCACCTAACACCCTGGTCTGTTTCTAATGAAGTTTCTTAAATATATTATCATCATTAATATACAGTGTGTGTTTCCTGTTTCCTGTGTTCTGTATTGATTTTTGTCTTGGGATTTTCTTTTTTAGATTTTTAACATTAGTTGGGTTTGTTTCGTTAAAAGCTTTGGATAAAGACATTGGTTCAGATAGCCAATATTGGATTCCTTTCTAGATACTCAGGAACTGACTGAATATGAACAAAATCAAATGCTTTTGTCATTGTAAGCCACAGTATTTTCCCACTCCCTCCACTACCCATCCTATTCCAGCCCCCTGTTTGTTCTTTTCTCTGTAAGGATGTAGCTTACAGCCCACCTTTCTCCCCTGGCCCCCCATCAGTCACCAACTGAGAAATTGCCCAAAGGCTTGCCTGTGCCTTCATCTTATGGAAGCATTTTCTTAACCGAGGCTCTCTCCTCCCAGCTGACTTTAGCTTGTGGCTAGTTGACATAAAACTATCCAGCGCAGCTCGAAAAGCTGGCCTCTGGGTTTCACACACACCCATCAGTGCACATACCAACATACACGTCAGCACACCTACCCATACAAAACACTCACACATATACATGCATATATTTTTATAGATCTGGTTTTATGTATACATATGTATTTGTAACACTTTTAGTGAAATATACTTGATAAACTACAAATAACATACTTACACATTTCAGAGTTTAAGAAAGGTAGATACTGTAAACCATTACCATAATTAAAGAATTTCTCTCTCTTTTTTAAAATACCTTCCTTTATTTCTTCCTTTATGTAACTACCATCCCTTGACAACCAATGACCGCTCTCTCCTAGAGTTTCAGGTACCACAATTTGTGTATTCATTACCTGTTAGTAAGTAGATCTTTGAATTGTCTAGTTTGGAGCCACTTCAAATATCAGCACGTGATTGTCTAGATATTTGTATTTACTTCTCACAGGTGAACAACTAGACTTGGAGTAGCTGGAACGGTTTTCCATACATTTTCCTATATGCTGTCACATTTATTGGCTTACCTGTGTGTAAGAGAGTTGTGCTTCCTCACCAATACGTAATATAGTCAGGTGATAATTTCAGCCATTAGAATCCCAGCCCATATGCTTAGAATTTGTATATCCTTATCCCTAATTTTGTGTGTGTATGTGTGGTGTGTATGTATGTGTGTGTGGTGTGTGTGTGTTGGTGTGGGTACATATCCATCCATAGATTTCTTTGGTGAAGTGTCTGTTTAAACAATGTTTTTCTGTCTGTTACTTGTCTTCATTAGTGCCTGTATTTGGGGAGGGGCAGTGCTGCACGCTGCAAATGTGTGGCGCTCAGAGGATAACTTGAAAGAGTTGGCTCTCCCTCCATCCATCCATGTGGAGTCTGGGAAGCAGATACTACTGAGCTTCAGGAGGATGTTATGTCTTCCAAATATGGCCTCTCTTTGACTGTCACATGGCTGCCTTCTCGCTGGCACACATGACCTATGTGCACACATGGAAAGCGTATGTGCATGTGCCCATAGGCAAGCACATGGCAGTGTTTCTTCCCTTTAAGATGCTGGTGTTGTCCTAACTGGATTTAACTGTGAACTTATTGGCCTTCCCTAAAGCCTGTCTCCAGACACAGTCTATGAGCACTGCAGCCTGAGTACGAGTTACATACCTGAGCTCACATGTTCTTTATCTTTGCTGCTAACTGCTCTGTTTAGTATAGTTCCAGCTCTCGTACATACTCTAGAGAAAAGACTGGTTTCCTAACCCTCGGCTTCTCTCTTCTCGTGTTTGTGTACTCTTTTTTTTTTTAACATACTTTGTGCTGCAGTAAACCATGGCTCATGTTTTGCTCTCACCGCTGAGTTTTTTCTTGCCTTCTACAGTTTTATTGTTACAACTCACACAGGAACTTATTCCACTCTTTCTTTGTCATTAAGAAATATCCCATAAGGCGGGTGCTGGGGCTCACACCTGTAATCCCAGCGTGCAGGAGGCAGAAGCAGGTGGAGCTCTGTGAGTTTGAGGCCAGCCTGGTCTACAAAGTGACTCCAAGGCTACACAGAGAAACCCTGTCTCAAAAAAAGAAAGAAGAAATATCCTGTAAAAGAAGATAACATTTTCTTATTTTTCCATATGCATCTAGATTTTTTTTTTCCAGAAACAGACAAGAGTTGTCTCGTTCTTGTCCCTTCATGGCTAACATCATGGAGCAACTGTCTCTCTCCCTCCTTTGGATAATCCCACCTGTGGTTCTGCGCAGTGGTTTTTCTCAGTTCATCCCACTGTCCCTTCCCCAGACCCAGGCCTTACCTAATCCACTGCAGCAGCTGCCTTACTGGCTTCTCATTCGTAATCCTCCTGTAGGTCTGAGAAGAGCACAGAACAGAGCTGGGAGGACGGAGGACACAGAGCAAATATGCAGAGGAAGAAGAAAGTCACCCTGATAGAGGTAAGAGAAAAATCAGCAGAGAATCACAAATGGGAGAAAATCAGGAAAAAGTTATTTTATCGCCAGGAAAAGACCTCAGACATCCTAGTCACTAGTGACAGAGGCCAGTGAGAGCAGAGCTGGCACAAACTCTGACACACACAGGAGCTGACACCACGGGAGCTGTGGGAACTGAGCCAACAGAGGAAGTGTTGGTGGAGAGTCCTAGATGTGTAAGTCAGACTGTCTTCAGCCTAAAAGGAAATGACCACCAGAGTAGTCTTTCTCTCCAGAATTCTGGGCTCTGAACAGAGACTCGGCTGTGCAGTAACTAGTAGAGACCTTGACGTAGAAATCTTTATATGGAGGGAATGACAGGACTATCTGTGAATTGAGAGGTGAGAGCCCCTGGAAAGCCCTTCTGGGCATGGGAGGAGGCCTGGGGTCCTGAGGAAACAAGCATGATGGACAATTTAACCTGGACAGGCGGACCGTGCTTACCTCTGAGATGGGCCCTTAGGGACGTGGTAGGGGGAGGGCAGCATAAGAAATGGAAGGAAGCCTGTCAGGACACCTTGACTTCTCTGTAGGCAGAAGGCTGTTGAAATAAGGTTGTTACAGCCCTTACTACACCCACATGCATATATTTGTTTTAGACTCAGTTTCCACTACTTAAATCTGTTTGTACAGAAAACCCAGATGAATCATTAAATAATCCTGGGGATGGCTTTTTATATACTCATGATGTTGGAATTAGAAAACATTTCTGGTTTTCTCTGGGTTTTTGTTTGGTTGTTTTTGTGATGGTGGTTTGTTTTTTTTAGGGGAAGGGCAGTTCCCATTCCCCAGGCTGGCCTCAGACTCTTGGGCTGAAGCAGTTACCCAGAATGTGAGACTGGAGCCACATGCCACTATGTCCAGCTAGGAGTCATTTTAAAACAGATGTTATATAATAGAAAATTTAAAATAATGCATGTTGGAAATGAAAAGAGTGGAAAGACGGCTCAGCAGTTGAGAGCACTCGCTGCTTTGCAAGACTCAGGTCCAGGTTCCAGCAGGTACAGAGCAACTTGCAGCTATCTGTAACACCAGTTCCAGTACCGTGCTCTGCCGCCTAGTCTCCTGTATCTATGGTGAACATATACACACACTCACACACACAGAGACACAGATACATACATGCACACATTCATATATACATTCTACATACATACACATGCATACATACATACACATATACACACATACAGGCAAAACACTCAAACCTATAAAATAAAAATAAATTTGTTTTTAAAAAAGAACATATGAGCCAATAAAGTTTTTAAATAATAGCTGGACTGGAGACAAATTTTACCTAAAGGATTTGTACCTGTTGTATATAGAAAGCTCCAAGAAATCATCAGAAAAGGAAACATATCACTAAGAAAACTGTGAAGAATATAGAGGAATGTTATTAAAAGAATAAATAATTTTGCAATAAACATGAAAAATTTTTACTTTAGAAGTGATCATGTTCATGAAATGAGAAGTAAAACAGAAAATTAGATATTTTTCATCACAGAAATGACAGTAGGTTTTGGAACTGAGGAAACGTAATTTTGTGACGATATGGGGAAGTAGGTTAACCTCTTAAGCACATGTGTCCCAGGGTACCGTCCATTCATTCTCGGGGGCAAGTTTGATAGGAGGTTTGTTTTTATTTCCATAAAAGGGGGCATATGAGGGGGTGTGGTTTTCAAAATTATTATGTAGCCAGAGGAGTTTGTCTGTCCTCCCAGTTACTCCTGTTCTAAGGTGGAGGAATGGCATGAGCCATGAATTCAAAGCTATTCTGGGCAAATTAGTGAAACCCAACCTCAAAAATAAACATGTTTATTTGTAATAGCCAGAATCTGGGAACAACCCAGATGTCCCTCATCTGAGGAATGGACACAGAAATTGTGGTACATTTACACAGTGGAATACTACTCAGCAATTAAAAACAAGGAAATCATGAAATTTGCAGGCAAATGGTGGGATCTAGAAAAGATATCCTGAGTGAGGTATCCCAGAAGCAGAAAGACACACGTGGTATATACTCACTTATAAGTAGATATTAGACATATAATATAGGATAATCATACTAAAATCTGTACACCTAAAGAAGCTAGGCAAGAATGAGGACCCTGGGTAAGATGATCGATCCTCATTCAGAAAGGCAAACAGGATGGACATCGGAAGAGGGAGAAAACAGGAAACAAGACAGGAGCCTACCACAGAGGGCCTCTGAAAGACTCTACCCATCAGGGTGTTAAAGCAGATGATAAGACTCATAGCTAAACTTTGGGCAGAGTGCAGGGAATCTTATGAAAGAAGGAAGAGATAAAAAGACCTGGAAAGGTCTGGAGCTCCACAAGGAGAACAACAGAACAAAAAAATTAGGGCCCAGGGCTCTTTTCTGAGACTGATGCTCCAACCAAGGACCATGCATGGAGATAACCTAGAACCAATGGGCTGGCTCTTTGATCCCCTCCCCCTAAGGGGGGAGCAGCCTTACCAGGCCACAGAGGATGACATTGCAGCCAGTCCTGATGAGACCTGGTAGACTAGGCTGAGATGGAAGGGAAGGAGGACCTCCCCTATCAGTGGACTTGGAGAGGGTCATGGGAGGACATGAGGGAGGGACGGTGGGATTGGGAGGGAATGAGAGAGGGGGCTACAGCTGGGATACAAAGTGAATAAGTTATAATAAATAAAAAATTAATAAAAGTTTAAAATATTAAAAAATACATAAATAAAAATAAACAAACATGTCCTCTGACCTGACAGTAGGGGAGTAGCTGAGGAAAAGAGAGAGAGTCGGCTAAAGTGCCTTCACATAGGTATTTAAGGAAAAGATTAATTCAATCTGTATGAGCAAAGCATTGGTGAAAACATCTCAGGCTCAACCTGCTGGTTCTGTTGATTTGCCTCTTAGGGAGGAGGGCAGCGGTTGAGCCCACCTGGGACAGGGGCGGTGGGTTCTGCTCTTCTAAAGGGACTTTTTTAAATTGTGAAACACTTAGGTAGTACAGTTCAGGTACTCGTTACTCATGTGACAAAATTGCTTCTGTGTGTGTGGAAAGGTGTGGTTGATAAATCTGGAAGGCAGGTATAACAGTCAGCATGTGCATCAGGTGTGAGGTCACTGTCTATGTGTGTACATTGAACAGTGTGCATCAGAGGTTTGAGTTCACTGTGTGCACTGAGCAGTGTGAATCAGCAGGTGTGAGTTCACTGTGTGCACTGAGCAGTGTGAATCAGCAGGTGTGAGTTTGGCATCTAAGTGGTGAGGCTGTGGTGATTGTTTTTCATTTTTATCCATGTATTTCCTGATTTTTTTTCTACTCTGCGTTTTTACTTTAACATTCCTTTTAAAATGAGTGTAACCTCACAAGTTTCTAACATGATCTGTTCTAAGTGGGGTGCGTCCTCTTCCTCCTTGTGGAGGGCTCTGCCCAGAGGGCGAGGTCTCAACAGTGCGCATGGGAGCAGAGCTTAAGCCTGGAGCTTAGCACAGAGGCACCGAGGCAGTTTGTGCCAGTCCAGCCTCTGGGGGTTAGCCTAGCCAGCTACTCAGTCTCACGGTTTTACACAAACATCAGCCCAACTTCATGTTCGTTTTCACGATCTTGCTGTACAGATTCTCCTCATTCTCTCTCCCCCTCCCCCTCCCCCCTCCTTTTCTCGTTGTCTTAAGGGGTGTTTGAAGCCTTCTGTTTGTGTCTGTCCTGTGTTAGCTCTGGGCACACTCTGTGTGAAGGTGATTCAGGGTGTGCATGGACTTGGGGTTGTGTTCCCGGGTAGATGGGACCTCCTCCCTGTGCTTAGCAAAGCTGGGCTGTGTCTGTCAGCAACTGAGTGTCCCACTGTCTGAGTAGCCTGTGGTGCACACTTGACTGTTCCGTTCCCTCCATCCTGACCGTCTCCTGCTCACAGCAGTCTGTGCAAATCCTGAACTATTCCTCCCTCTTGATAGCCCCAGTGATTTCCCATAAAGACTTTCTTCGCTGCTGCCCCAGCTGTTTCTGAACCTCTCTGGGTTTCCTCTCCCGGGGTTTCTCCCGCTTCTCTGTTTGCTTCTCACAGCAGGTCCCCACCTGCCTGCTTCCCCAGGCTCTGCGTCTGTCTCTGCACGTGCAGGGGCTAGTCACTGCCCTCCAGCTGTGCGCCCCTCTGTCACCCTTCTTTCCTGCCTTCCTTCTTTTTGTCCTGCCACCACCATGAGCCCGTCCCCTTCTGTTTGTTGTTTTACTCCTCTCAGGCATCTGTTCTCCTGTCTCTATTTTGCAGGTTTTAGGGTCTGTGTGTGACACCCTGCATTTATTTGAACCTGTGCTATACTTTCATAACAGCAGTGGCTTTTCCGGCTCTTCCTGCTACTATTGTGGCTTAGAATGTTGTGTCTGCTCCAGTTTACACTTAGCCAGTTGCTTTCATGAGCTTCACTTGGACCTGTTTCTGAGCTTCTACATATCTATATATCTATGTCTATATGTCTAAGCAGGAGTTTTTCTGTGTAATTACATTTAACAAATTTAAAATCAAGAAACCTGAATGGACAACAGAATTTTTCTGAACCTTGAAAGTATCTATTTCTCACATGAAAAAATAATAATAATGTAACCACATACTTAAGATAAGGCCTATTTTGAAAAACACAAGTGTTTGCCTTTCCTCCGAGCTGGTAGGAGAGCCAGGGGAATGGCTAGCCCCTGCCCTTGCCTGCCACACTGTGTCAGCCGTTGCTTTGCTCAGAGGTGGCCTGCAGAGCTCTTGACATTGTTCTGAGGCTACAGCTTGTTCCTAAGGACACCCCAGTGTTCCAGCCTCTCAGGCTAGAGGGAAGTCAGAGGTGTTTAAAGACCAGATGTTGGCTGTGCTGTGAGTGGAGACACTGAAACAGTCCAGCATGAACCCCACTGTCCATTACAAGCTGGTTGGTGCCCACTGTGCCCTCTAGAAAGCAGCATCTGCATGCCAGCCCTTGATTCTTAGCAATAATTTAATGTGTTGTATTCCAAAATGTGTCTAGGTCCATGCTCAGCAGTCACTATCATGGTCAGTCAAAAATGAAGTGCGCCTTGTCTCGTTTGGCTCATGTAGTCTGAAAAACATGATAATCAGCCCAGCCTGAAAATTAGACACAGCTAGCACTGTTGGATCCTGTTGAGAATGGTCTGTGTTCTTAGGGTCACGAAGCAGAAGTGTCCTCCTGATGAAGAGAAGGGCTGCCCTCCCGCTGCTTCCTTTACATGGTGCGCAGTTTGGGGCTGCTGCGCCTTCTCCTGAGAACTTTCCTGCTTTGCTCCCTGGCTTGTCAGTGCAGGCACGGTCAGTCCAGTTGTCATCATCCACAGAGATGTGCGCAGTGCGCTTGGAGGGACAGATCTGGGTAGCTGAACAGCACAGCCCTTGTGTGTGCTATTGCTGGGTTTCTCGCTGGAACTGCTGCACAGGTGACAGCCAGAGACGGTGTTCATTATCTTTGTGTGCTTCTCTCCCTAGTGAAAAGTTGGGAAAGAATGAAGAAACAACCCGATGAATAGAAATGAAAAGCCTAAGCCAAATGGATTTCTGTTGAGATGTTGGATGAAAACAAGTATCCACTGTTTACCAACTTGACGAAAAATCTCAACTGAGGTTTGGCTGTTAAAAAAAAAAATTCACTGTGGCCTCTGTGCTTAATTGTCGTAAACCATTGTGACTGTTACTGCTCAAAGTATCGTACTGTTCATTAGTAACTACATCAGAATTGCACCGCTGCTGTTGGAAAAGCCAATAAAGAAACCCCCAGACTGCTGCTCAGCAAATGTTAATAAAGTGTGCGCACCGTAGGCCTGTCCACCCAGTCACCAAGCAGCGTCCCTTTGTCTGCGAGTGGCTGTGGGTGTGATTCACCACTCAGAGTGCACAGCACCTGCTTGTGCCCTTAAGTGTGTGTCAGAGACAAGCAGCTTCTCGGTAACCAACAACCTGCTTTTCGGAGCTCAGTGTTTAGGCTGTTTATGAATCATATATGTAACTCAGCACACATAAGCGAAGAGAGATTTTGGCTGCACTGGCAAGAGTGAACCAAATTTACTTCTATTTTTTAAAGGCAGATCATATTTAAGCATATAAGTAATTTATGGATATAAATTGTTGGATATTTATTTTAGTCTGAATATTTGTTTTTAAATTATTACATGTGTTCTCTATGTCTTTATCTCTGGAATAACGATGCCATTAACCACATGGCCATATGTTTTGAAGTTGGGTGTAACAGAGGAAAAGTCATCCTTCTTGGTTCTTGACTCCCTTTCCTCAACTACATGATAAGTCTATCAATAAGCATTTGACCTCAGCAGGGTCAGAGCCTGTAAAGTTAGAAAACTCATTGACCACAGTAGACAATTGATTTCTTAGAAATAAGAAGTGAGAGCAGCTGCTGTGCTGAGCAGGGGATGTAAACAAGTCCAGATGCACCAACGTGAAGAGGCTTCTAGCAAAAATATGTTTGCCTCTCACCCCTGCACATGTTCTAGATGCTTAAAAACAGCCACATGGCCCCGCTGCGAGGACCTCGTAATGTTGTTGTTGTTGTTGTTGTTGTTAAAGGAGTTCTCACAAGCGTACAGTGCAGCACTGAAAGTGGCTGAGGCCCACAGTCCTCAGCACCCAAGTCTCTCCCGCCAGCACGCCAAGCTGGTGTTGTTCCGGTTGTGTATGTCTGTGCTCCAGTGCCAAGCTGGTGTTGTTCCGGTTGTATATTATGTGCCCCAGGTGTTTTGGGGCCAGAGCTGACCCACGCTGTACACACTTCTTTTCTGTCTTTCGAGTATACTGCTTGATACAAGTAAAAATAAATAAATAAATAAAGACTTATGTCTCAACAATTTCTGCTCACGATTTTTTTTTCTTTTCTAAGTGTGTGTGTGTGTGTGTGTGTGTCTTCGAGTGTGTGTTAGCATGTGTGGGCATGCAGGTGTATTTTCACATATGCGAGTGTGGAGGCCCTGGGTTGAGGCCAGGGATCTTCCTCAATCATTCTTCCACTTTATCCTGGAGGCAGGGCCTGTCAGCCCACAGCTCACTGGTGAGGATCCCTGACCGCCTTCCCAGCCTGTAATTACAGCTGAGCCCCTCTGACCACCAGCACGAAGGTGGGGCGCATGATTGTGAGACACAGAGTTCTCTGACTTTGCCTTTAAATTCATCAAAGAGAATTTCAGCCAGACCAGTGAAAAGCCACACTGGAGGAGCTGAGCATCTGCTAAGATCCGCATTTTCTTGTGAAAAGTTAAAGGACTATTTTTACATTGTACCTGTGGCAGACAACAGGAACGGCTGAGTCTTGTGCCAGGAAAAGTGGACTGTCCTCAGGCTGGCCAGTGAAAGTCTAGTGTCACACTCTCGAAGACAGTGAAGTGTGGTCTACACAGCCGCCCGTGACAGGTCCTCATTAGAGTCCTGCACGGCCTCCGGTGCCGTCCACTTGATTTACAGCACGTGTTTTATTACTACGGAATCATTGGGTGTTATCATACTGTCCATTCAGATGAAGAGTTTGGCACTATCGCTGGATCATGATGTCTGCAGTATCAGCTATACTGTGAATAAGGTTTTCCAAATTTTAATAATGTAACAAAAACCCAACATATTGTCCCCGTGGCTGTGTGGTAGGCGAGTTTGTATATACGCTCTCCTGTATGGATGTGCCTATGTACGACCGCCACACAGCCAGGGGCATTTACGTGGTGCTGGGGATCCAGACCCCAGTTCTCATGTTCACGTGGCAAGTGCTACACCCATAAAGCCATCTCCCCAGCCACCTGAAAAATCAAATCTTCATAAGCTTTCAGGCATGGAATATTTATAACATAAATGCAAAATTTTAGCATAAAATGTACATTTTAACTGAAATTAGTATTTTCAAGGACTAACACTTGTTACATATGAAATTTTGTGCATGGTTTCTGTCACAAAATTGTGTTCTTGGGTTTATCTTTATGTATAAGCTATTGTAAATTCTTATTTGTGACATTTTCTCTTATACATTTCAGCAAAACAGTATCCAGAAGCCACCATGTTATAGCTTAATTTGACATGTTGCTTTTTGTCATATGTTAAATACTTTTAAGAAGATAAGAACAGGGGCTGGAGAGGTGGCTCTGCAGTTAAGAGCACTGGCTGCTTTTCCAGAGGACCCAGGCTCAATTCCCAGCACCCACACGGCAACTCACAACTGCCTGAAACTCATGCCCTCATGTAGACACACGTGCAGGTGCAGGTAGAACACCAATACACATAAAATAAAAATAAATAATGTAAGAAAAACATTTTTTAAAAAGAAGAATAATATAAAATGGTAACAAAATTAGTGATACTTTTTGTTTTTAATTGATTTCTATCTAAGGTCCCTATGTGTTAAATAGTAGAAATATTTTTAAATCAACATTATGTTACCAGTTTTTACCCAATTTAACTTGACCACAGGAAATACTTCCCAGATCTTAATTTTTATTATGCATAATCTCCATTTCTTTTTGTATCAGGTCTTGGAGGTACACAAAACTTCCCTTTTCCCTTTTCTAGGCAACACGAGGCTCTGACGTTTGCCCACATGCACAGGGCCTGTAAGTGCCCATGCTGCCCACAGTGTGAAAGAGAAGCCTCCATGGCAGGTGCTCACGTGCTGTAGAGGACAAACCCAGTCGGTGTGTCAGGTCGGAGACTCCCACACATGTAAGAGTGACTAAAACCACATTCCACCTGGGTCTAGAAATTTGTATATACCGAAGTGGAAATTGTTTCTAAACCTGGTCGTTTGTGCATTGTGTAATTATTCTTAGTAACTCCTTACTCCATACCATGGTTCGTCCATCTCCTCAAGAAATGGGTTCTGTAGAATCAAACTGATTGCATGTACAGTAACATTTTATTCATGAAACAGAAAAGGCGCCATTCCAGTCATACAAAAGATAATAAAAACATCAAGCAGAGTGTCAATCACAAGACTGTGTTGACTGAAGAACTCAGTCTATGGATGGACCCAATTATCTGCAGGAGAATTGAATGTCAGTATCACTTAGGGTTAACAATGGGCTAAGTAGGCGAAAGCAGACAGCTCCTCTCTGCAGAGACCCAGGAAGTAAAGTTAGTAATGAGGCACTTCATTCATCATATCCTTCTGCTCTAGTTATTAAGCTGAATAGGGGATACTCTAAGCTAAGGCGGGAACTGGATGATATAAAAAACATTTGTTTTGTAAATGCAAAGAATGCCGTCTTTGGACCCCTTCACATCTAAGAGTAAGCTGTGAGCACCTCCCTTTTCTAATCTTGTTCTTCAACACCTCTGAGCTCACATTGTATATGGGCAAATTAGTTTAGCCTCAAAAGGTTGAGATGGTTACTGAAAAGAATCTACAATTTTATTTATCCAATATAAAAAAACCCTATATGTCATAATTCATAATTCCTTTTTCGACTCCCATTACATAGCGCAAATTGGCTTAACTACTGGCATACACCAGTAACAGCACTAAAGACGCAGAGCAAGCTGCTGGTGGTGTGTTCCAACTCATTTCTTAAGTCATCAGTTGATTCTTCTCCAGAATGGAGAGAGCATAGAGAACAAGAAGATGTAAGAGTACAATTCTTACAGACAATCACAACTGGCAATCAAAGGGCAATTTCTTAGAAGGCCTTGGAATGGAGACGGCTTACTTAATGAAAATAAGAGCGGGAAGGGGAATAAGCAGTAAGACAACTAGGAAGATAACTTGTTGAAAGAGGAAAAAGCAACTGAAGCTTAAAAACAGAATCAGAAGACTGAAGGAAGAGGGTTCCCTGGAGAAAAGCTTGGTAGATTCAGTTCAGTTTTTGGTGTTTTTAGCAGAGAATCAGTTGGCTTTTTTGTGGGTGCTAAATTTGTTCATAGGGATATGAACAAATATAAATGTCTCACATAATTTTTCTGAACTATTAGTGTAGGTGAAGGGTTGCTAAGCAATGATGCCTGTAACCAGCCCTGACTGCTGCATAGAGGTTAACGTTCAGAGGTCTGTGTCGATGCAACCAAGTGCCTCACAGTGGTAAAGGAATGTCAGTCAAATCCACGCACTTTCAGAACATCAAATGCTCACCATGCTTATCATGTGTGCAGGCAGACTACATAATAAACCAGTCTATAGCAGCTGTAAATTTCTGAGGATTTATCTAACCACAAATACATTGAAATGGGGAAATGGGTCTATATTAAACCATGCAAGATGCTGTTGGAGCCTTGCCATTTCTGCAACATCCTGTAATTAATTTTTCGTGACAGGTCTGGCAAACTGAAACATTCACTGAGCTTGCAACAGACTGTTAAAGACTCCAGTGGTTGCTGACCCACAAGCAAGCCAAGTGAAGGTAGCTTGTCTTCCCAAACGTGACTTCAGGGTACCCTGGATCCAGGATCAGTTCGTCCCCTTTCAATCTCAAAAATGTCTGGATGGTAGAAATGATTTGGCCTCAAGAAATGAGCCTGCTTTGCTTCATGCTGTGCATGTCATCTTCCAGAATCGGGACAGCTCCCTAACAGGGGTGATACAGTCTGCTCAGCCCTCCCCACAGAATGTGCTTGGCACTAAATGTAATGGGATTGTCCTGTGGGAGATTTGAATCAGTTTTGGAAAACGCCTTTTTATATGACTAAGGCTCACAAAACCTCTATGCATAGAACACCCTCTTCTGATATTTGAAAGTACAGAGAAATTATTATTATTATTATTATTATTATTATTACTATTGTTAAAATGGATGCTATCGATAAGATCTTTTCCATTCCCTAGCAGGGTGATGGAATGAACGCTGCCTGATTTGATTCAGGTGGTACTGGGATTGATGCTAATGAATCCAAAGGTGCAGATGGCTCAGCAGGTAAAGTACATGCAGCACAGACATGAATGTAGATTCCCCAGCACCCATCGAGCCATGCCAGGTGGCACCCACCAGCAGCCCAGGGCTGGAGAGCAGAGATGGGGATCCCAGGGCCTGTCTGGCTAGCTAGTGTAACTGAAATGATCAGCAAGAGAGCGTGTCTCAAAATACAAAGTGGATAAAGGACGAAGATGTCAACCTTTGTCCTCCACAAGTGCACACATAGGTGAGTACAGAGAGAGAGAGAGTACAGAGAAAGAGAGCCTCCAAGTAAAGGAGGCTTTTTGCTGGAAAAATGGAGCTACTGCCTTTGAAAAATGTGAGTTACATTGTACAAATGTACATAGCCTTGTTGGTTTCCTAGAAGAATTCAGAGTTCTTCATTCCATGGACAGAAGAACCTGACCCATCTGGAGCCCAGTATCTCTCAAAGTGCCAGTCAGAGGGAAAGGTCCCCGACGGAAGAGATTAAGATGGATCCTGCTCAGGGGGAAAGAGGTCCCAATAAGTAGAGGAAAAGGCTCCGTATCTTCACTCCTTTCACATGAGTATCTCCTTCCAAAGCTCAAGTAACAAAACTATGGAAATGGAGTGGAGAATCAGAAGGTGGTTGGAAAACATGAACATGAAGATCATTTTGTCTGGCTGGTTTTGTTGAGGCAAGTTCTCACTATGTTGTTCAGCCAGACCTCAACCTTGAATTCTCCTGCCTCAGCCTCCCAAATTATAGCCTGGGCCACTGTACTTTAGTGCACACAGCTAAGTACAAGGCCACTCCTAATTCCAATGCCAGCGTTTCATGGGCCACAGACTTCTAAAGCTGCATTCTCCCAACCTTGTTTAGCCAAAGCAATATATATATATATATATATATATATATATATATAGTATAATAGACGTATATGTGTATAGTATATGTATTATATATGTGTATATATACAATATATAATGTATATATAATGTAT